TGTGCCTACGGGAGGTTTGTATTTTTGACTTAACGGCCTCAACAAAAAAAGCCGTGAATTGAAAATAAATCATATTAAATGAGTTCAAATTAGTTTTGAAAATTATATAGCGCGATTGTTAGTTCGTTTGTGCATTGAACTACGAAATTGTGACTTTTAATATGCGTGCGATACAGTGTGTGCGTAATCAACTGCTGCATACGTAAATGAGCCTGCTTTTATGAATTATTCAACTAAAACAAATATTTGACTAGGCTTATTGAGGCAGCCTGGCCATGAGTTACCTAAAAGGAAATCGAGAAAGGAATTCCATTCCAAGGTAATTGCATGTTTAAGAAAGGCAACTCAAGCGCCAATAAGATTAAGAATAAAATATTCTATTTTAGTATTATTGTTTTTATTAAATATACTACAACTTAAAACTTATCTTATTGGCCTATGATATTCATTTACAATAATTATAAGTTGAACTATTTTTATTCTTATATTTAACCTTAGATAGTGGATCGGCATATATCATTGAAGGCAGAGTTAGTATATTTATAGCTGCAAATTATTAACAATATACTCGCTTTAAGCATATTTATTGCTAAAGGGTATACCAAAAAAAGCTGACTGTAATGTTCATTTAAGTATTTAAATTTAGTAAGTTGATAAAAATCAGATATTTAAAGCCAACAAATTTAAAATAGCTTTTTAGCAATTGGTTGATAAAATATGCTCACATAAACTTTGCTGGTTTTTGTAAAATGTATATGTATATAAACATAAATCTATACATTTAAGTATTGTTTATTTATTGTTTAATTTTTGCAATTTAGATGTAAAGCATAATTGAAATTATTTATTTATAGATAAGCTCAGATTTGCATAGAAATAAAAACATATATTAAAGCCAATGTTTCTCTCCTATATTTTAGACCTCAATAAAGCCCGTTGCATTGCGCATATATGTATATAGAGCTATATATAGGTACGTACGACTGCTGTGCTTCTGAAATCAGAGGACTTTGCCACGTACGCAAGGTGGCACGATTTGCAGCTCATTAGCTACCAGAGACAGGACACATGTCCAAACTACTAAACGGCGCTCTAAATCACTGGACACGACAGGACTTGACACGAACTGACTGCGACGGCGACTGCGACTGTGACTGTGACTGTGACTGCGAGTGGAAATGGAACAGTGCGGCAGTTGAGTTGGCTGCTCCTGGCACTGGTGCTGCTACTGCCACTGGCACTGGCACTGGCACTGCCATTGCCCGCTTCAATTAGTCAACAATTACGAACGACAATACAAACTGGTCCGGTCACAGTCAGTCTGCAAGGGATCACAACAACGGCGAGCTGAAGGCAGCCGGAGCTCAGGTTTTTGTGTGCACGGCCAGCTAATGGCTTATGAGTAGTCACGTGCCATGGACATATTTGCCGAAGAAGCCCTGTGCGACTGTCTGTGCCATGATAATGAAGCACGCGAGATCGCGACAGCAGTGAAAGGAACAACGACGCCAATTACCAGAGGCCCAGCAAGTTTCCAGCTTATTTTTGAATAATTACACAAAATTAAAAGTGTTGTCGACGCGTCGGCGGCTAGAGTTGCCTAGTTGGCCAGATGAATGCCGGCAACTGAACGTGGTGAGCCTTGCTGCCTCCCCAGCAGGCTGGTAGGCTCTGGTGGGCCCTGTCATGCGGCGGCTTAAACTTTCGCCAGGCTCGCTCGAGTCCTTAATAAAGTCAAATGAATGCGCTTAATCAACACGCGTGGGCGTCAGCAGGAGCCGCCTGCCGCTGTTCGGCAGATTTCTGTGAGGGTAGAGCGCAGCAAGAATGTTCGCCCTGCTCCCTGCGAGTTCACCTACATAATTTCTTTACATGCTCTTTAAATTTGCCTAACCCGCCCACCGGTGCTGAAAAATTAATTAAATTTATTTTCACCCACTTGGCGTCGAGCAGAGCCCATATACATATGTATGTATGTACATCGTACATCGGACTGCACATGATTTTATGCCTTCCAAAAATAAATAATATTTCTTTTTTTTTGAGACATTTTTATCTGTTTAAACGCAATAAACGCGGAGTATAAAAAAGTTGCGTTTGCAAGAAGCTAAAAAGCGGACGAAGAGCGAAGAGCGAAAAGCACAAAAGCCGAACTCATTGCCATTAAAAACGCATTATCCTTTGTGCTTCTTTTATTACTTTTCATTTCAAGAGCATTGAGATTAAGAGTGGGCACGTGTGTGTGTGTGAGTGTGTGTGTGTGTGTGTCAGCTTTCTGGTTGCGTGTTTATGGGCTGTTGAGCTGTAAACGAAACACAGGACAATAATGTAATGTATAAAAGGGAAAAATGAAAATGATTGCATATGGAAAGCGCGCGAATTGTTTGCCTAATAATAAATTTAGCTGGAAAACGCGGAGATCGACAATATTAAGACACGTCTGCCAAAATGGAAATCAATTGTCTTAGGCCCAGAGACACAGATGGGAAACGGCTAAGCCTTAGACGAAACATATTTGATGGGACTTTCGTGCTGCCAATTTGAGTGCCCTTTTTCGCTTGGCTGCCAAAGGATTACATTGGATTTTTATTTGATTGTTGGAATGAAAGCACAAAAACAGACGGAGGGAAAAATGGAAATCGTCCACCAGCCACGGCGCTGGCTCCGGGGAATTGCCAAAGTAGGGAGTAATGATTTACAATGCTGCCAAAATAGAATGTAATCCAAATGCGACCTATCTGCATCGCTTATCCTAATGGAAATCGGGCTCTGCCGGATTATGAAAGCACTGTTAAAACACACAGGACAGGGCTGGACTCACTCGCCCAAGGGATGAAGACAAAATCGAAAACAAAAACTCTTTGCATATAATTATACAAAACTGCCCATATTTTAGTTTACCATTCAATAAATAGTTTTATCATATATCATATGAATATATTTTTTATCATCATAGTGCATTGATTTTGGATAAGCCTACATGGAGTTGTTTGTACAACATTTTTAATGGCTTTCCCAAATACATGTTATCTCTTATATACATATATATATATTTATTTGTTAATTTATTAAGTTATGAATTTATTATTTTCTTTATTTATTGATTCTGTATATCAATTGAGTTATTGCCTAACTTGATTCTGCAAATGACTCCTAGTTGACTCTTATTATTAAATATTCCAATCTAAGTTTCTAAGCGATGAACAACCATTGATTAGGATGTCTTATATATACATATACATACATATTTCTCCCGACGAGTAATATTATTTACAGTCTGTGTGCGTATAGTACTCTTCGTGTCATATTGTCTGGAATGGCCGTCGTTGCCTTATTATTGCACACTTGGCAGTTGGCACGTGCATTGAACGCTGCAAATTAAAAACAGCATAACTAATGGGGCAATATCTGAGGTGATGATGGGAGAATTAGGGGATGGGGGATGGAGGAGATATGAGAAAGAAACTGAATTAATCGGCGACGCATATGAATTTATAATAAATGCACAAGCGAGAACATTTTGTGCAGCTGACTTTGAAATAAATTTCTACAAAAGACCGAAAAGTTGAGCTCCTCTGCGGGTGTCTACGGACAACACGTGTGTGTTTGTGTGGGCAAAGGCGCCATTCATAATTCACCAGCATAAATTGTATACGGTGGTGAGGGCGGGGTCGGCAGAGCTGTACCTCGGCGAGCACTGGCTTGTTTTTGGCAGCCCTGTGTTAAGGTGCCACGTAAATTTTGGCTAACGATGCACTTTGCACAGGCAATTCGCTAGAGTTTGGGTGCGGCTGCTGCCTGCTGCCTCCTGCCTCGCTGCCAACCTGCCTGGTGCGATTCATTTTGTGCCACGTCAGCGCACACATGTGACAAAGCGGCCTTTAAGCCCGACAACAGTTGTTGGCTAGGGACGAAAACAATAGACGCCAACTATTTTTCCTGCGTCTCCAATTGGCCGAGCCACTCTGGCTCGTTGCAAGGGTTTTCAATTTTTCAACTCTTAAAGTTGAGTTGATCATTTTTCTTCGCTTTGTTTCCTCTCGCTGGAAGCCATGTCAAGTAAATAATTTATTTTATAAATTCTAAAGTAGGATTAACACTGAAATATGCAGATTTTCGCAGGCGCAGTCAAGTGTAGCTCGAAAGGGTTGAAAGCAACAGCAACAGCAACAGCAAAGCCATCAGAAATAGCATGGCAAAACAAAGCATCGCAAAAATCCCAAAAAGGTCAGTTAGACCTTTCGCCGAGCAAAACCTGTTCCTCAAGTAGATTAGCAACCAAACAGTGTTAAGCCTATTTATATAAATAAAATGGCTCCAAGTTGCTCTCGTCTAGCTGCTTCGCTCCCCTTTGGCTGTCAACTTATCAGCAAATTAAATTGAGTTTGTTTTTTTATAAATGTGAAAACATTTCCCATCACTTTGCAGAACATCATGTCAAGCACACACACACACACATACACTGACCGTTACACACCAACTTCCTTAATCAGACATATATAAGGCCGCTCTCTCATACTGCTTACAACTATTGAGTTTGTGTCAAAAGTTATTTACACTCGTGGAGGAAATACATACATATATTACATATATATATTTCCCGCTCTATTTCTGGTATAAAAGAAATGGTAGTTAAAGAGAATCTGGACTAACTCAGCTTTTATACATATTCAACTGTTGATTAAGAACTGAAATATTTCATTGAATTTAATTAAATAAAATTTTAAAAATTTGTAAATAATTAATTAAGTTACATTTGAGCCTTCAAAATAAATTATAACTAAATATAAAATAATGGAGTAAATACAATATGAGTAAGCAGATTAGAGTCTGTCGCAACAAGTGTGTTTTGCCTGCTCTGTATAAAGAAGGAACCGCAGTATAATACGGCTATAAGCTAATGAAGTTCCGTCTTTGGCCATTTAGGGATAAGCTCGTGTGAGTTATATTTGAGTTGTCATTTCTCGGGGAATGATAAGAAGAAATACAAATTACTGAAGTAACCATATGAATAAAGCTGCATAATTAATCTGTGAAATGAATATTATTTTCTTTTACATTTACATTTAATTTGTGTTTTATAAAAGTATACAAAAATGTTGAGTTTTTAGTATTTTGAGGATAATACATATATAATGCGAGAATGCAACGAGATGTTAAAGAATTCCAAAGGAAGTCTTGTCTAGAGTTTTTATGACTTTATGACCACAAAGGAATTAAATTGAACCAGATTATTTAGTGCTTTACAGTTGCTTCTTGCCATTAGCAAATCTTACATAAATCAAAATAAGTAGAGTATATTTTAGCGAAAAAGCAAGACTACAAAAACTTTTGTTTTGTTTTTGTTTTTTTTTTTTTTTTTTTTTTTTTTTTTATTTTTTTTTTGTATTTTTTTTTTTTTTTTTTTTTTTTTTTTTTTTTTTTTTAGGATGTTTTTTGCAGCACGGACATGCGTAACAACACAAAGTTGATTATTTAATAGCCGGGTAGCCAGGTCTCAAGCCACTGAATTAGCTGATGCACATTCCTGGCCACCAGAGTCAACGAGGCGGGGGTCAAGACGCCAAGCCCCACAATAGAGCTGCGAGGACGGAAAAGCCAATTGACTAAGAAAGTCCCGGACGGCCTCTGCAATAGCTGCGACGGTCTTCATAGTCAACGCCGCCCTCCACACGTTCCCCTTCTGTATGTCTATTGCGGTTGATTGCTTGCCGCTGTTGCTGTTGCTGTTGTCGCTGTTGCTACTGTTGCCACTGTTGCTGCTGCGGCCTATCGCCGGCCTGATGCTGCTGTTCGAGATGCTGACTAATGGGTTGCTGAAGCTGTATCTTCTTCCCGACGGCGAATGGACAGCATCTCGCGCTGTAGATCACCAAATAGCGCAACCCCAGCTGCTTCAGGGGGTGCAATTGGGAAACGTTCTAGCAGAGCAGCACCCTGCCGCAGATGGAGTATCCCCAGCCGGGGCACCACATGTCCGCGCCGCGGGCCAACGGCAGACTTCTAGAGCTGCAGCTGCGATCGACTGAGATCATAGCTCTCGGCTGCCATCATTGAATAGAGCTCGTGAATATATGAAATTGTAAATAACCTGTTTATGGAACGCATAGGAAATAAATATAAAAATGTCTGCAGAAATAATTTACAATTTTGACAAAAACAAACCAATATTTTTTTCATGAATGACACAAAAATATTTTGGCCCCAATACCTAAATATGAGTGTAAATCACATTTGCTTTTGTATTTATATTGAAATAATATATTGTTCTTGTGTCACGTCTGTTTCACTATCTCTATGATATGCTTCAGATAAAAAACCTTTTTGTGAGCAACGTGAATGTGTGGGATTTGTTTGTGAATGTTTGGGATTTGTTGCAGCCAACGTGACTTAGGCTGTTATTCCATAATGGACCAGTATTAGTGAGTCAGCAATACCCGTGTGTGCAATTTTCATTTGTGTTTGCACTGAATTGAGAATGTAAAGCAGAGCATTGTTGTGCATTCATATTTAGTGATACCTTTGAGCACGGTAAATCAGTTGATGTAAAGCGATATTTATTATTTATTGAAGTCAGTTCAAATGCCAATTCAAAATTATTGCTTTGATTACAAATTAGTCAAGCTATTCCAACTTTTCTATAAAATAAATATCGTAATTTGTCTTGTTGATAGTCTATCTATATAAGCACTAGTCGATATCTACCTAATAAGGCTGGCGATCTTATATATGCTATACATGTAATTTGTTCTGTTCTGATGTATGGGTGTCAAGTTTTAATAAAGAATTTCTTTCAATTTTAGGGACACTAATATTTATAATCAATTGGCATCAATATATTTATATAATTTTTTTTATTTCTTTATTTATTTATATAGTCTATATATATAGTAGTATATATTTATATAGTCTAGTAGTAATATAAACAAATATTTATCTACAATAAATTTTAGGTATTGATTGAATTAATTTTGTAAACATGAAATCTTTAAAGAGTCCCAATCAGAATATGAATGACTTCACAGCCATGAACTGGGGTATTTAACTATTTGATGTCTACATGCTAAAATAGCGACGCTGCATCGATTCATGAGGAATTTCCACTGATTGGCAGTGGCATGCGTTTGCGAGCGATATCTTACACGCTTCAATTGCAGGCCAGGCTGACACATTGACAACACATTCGCAAGGCAAACGTTGGCAACTTTTCGATAGCGTTAAATTAGACATCAACTTGGCAACAAATATACAAGTCACACGCTCACACCCACACACACACACACATGCATATCAGCGCTCATTGATACCCCGTAGAGCTTGACGCTTATCAGACAATGCAAAAAGCAACAACAACAGAAGTAACAACACCAACAACAAAGTAGACAGCTACAACTGCAGCCCGTCATGTCGTTCAGCGCCTTGCAAAAACACAAAGTGCAGCGTGCACAACATTTTGTGGGCGTGGTCGGCGACTGCAGATGCTAAGGACTATGCAGGCGTCACGTCTGCGCCATGGCCACGCCCAATGCACGTTTCGCCACACGCCTCGTTTGCATAGCCAAGTGGCTTGCATTCATATGCCATTATCATAGCCAAGGCATCGCCAGCGCTTAAAACAAACAATGGCTCCCATTACTCAGCGCAAATGTATGACCAGAAGTCGTGTGTCTATGTTTACGACACAGTATGTGTTTGTCTCCTCTGTATATGTGTGTGTGTGTGTGTGTGTTGGTAACACACAGCCACATTATGCTCCTAGCCTATCTATCGCAGTGCGGCACAGATCTCGTTTAAGATGTTTGGCTTGAGGCGAATGGCCGCACGCACACCGAAACCGCGACCCACGCACATATTTATCTTTAGCTACTGCAAACAGTTTGCCTTTAAAATATGGTCGATGAGATAAGCCCGCTAGTTTTTTTTCAGTCTTAAGTAACGCTTTGCTTAGTGCCGCTTATAGTTTTTGAATTATATACACTTAAAACTTACCTTAATTAATGATAAATGTTGTGTAGATTTAACTTCATGATATAAATTCAGAACTTTGCCAAAAAAAAATATATTTTATACAATTTTGAAATACGTTTATTATATAGTTGATACTTTAATAAAATGTAAAAGTTACGAAGTGTTAAGGTTTCTGGTTTATGTTTGATTGAACAAAATCAAACATTGAGCTGAACTTGCCGAGTTTTACGTATTTTAGACAGCCGACTACGATTAAACAGATTTTAGTTTCTAGAGTTGCCCAATAGAAAGTGAGAGTAAAAATATAAGTAAGAAATATATGTCGTGTCAGTGCGATATTACACTGTTGAAATTGCAATTAGATATCTTGATATCGTGTTAATCGATTGATTTAGTATTGTGGTGCAATTAAAGGATGCACTGCCACTAAGAGAGAGACAACAATAGCTGTTGCTGAACGTAGTCCCGGGTGTCGCTGGGTGAGAGCGAGACGGCTAGTCATGCCGTTCGCAGCAGGGTCGCTGTGCTTTCGATGAACAAGAACATGCGACCATGATTAGAACTTTGGAGAGTAGAAGAGAGGACAGTCGGTGAATGACTATTGAACGAGAAAGAGCATTAAGAAGAGTTTAGCGACACACCGGGAATTCGTTATTACGCGCAGCTATGATGGAAAACCATAATGAGAAACGTAACGCCCCGACATATATATATTTTTGGTATAAACAGATTGCAAATAAAATAAAAACTACAATATAATTAGAGTTCAGAAAGAAAAAATAAAAAAATAAATCAATGAATATTAAAATAATGCCAAATATGGTGTATTTAAAAAATTTTTGTAGCTACTTTAAATATTTTAATTGTCATATGTACATTTTTAAATAGTTAGTTTCCATTAAAAGTTGCTGAATTTCAATAAATATAATATCTTTTATTTGAATTTGAAGTAGAAGTTTATTACTACGCAAATGAAAATAAATTGCACACTTTATATACATATATATAGCTCTTGAGGTATTTCATAAACATCATTTAATGGAAATATACAGTTTTTTATTTACATATACTCATAATTAAGGCTTCAACATTTTAAAGTGTTTTCTAATGTATTCGATCAATTTTGTAAAATTAAAATTTGTTGTATAATTTATTTTTGATTGGAAAACTAACTAAAACTACTCTAAAGCTCGCATAGAGGGCCAAATTGCTGACAAAATGCTTACATTTTGTACAAGTTCATGCGTGTTTTTCCCAATTGTATCTCGAATACGTAGCAAATTCCAAATATGTATGTATATATTTTTGGCACGCATCACAGACAGAGATTGTGTTGGAAGCTCAAATTAAATTTTGAGCCAACACGTGTGCGGTGAGGGGAGGAGGAGGGAGGGCGAGCAAAAAAAAGGACGAACAGCAGCATCAGCGAGAATAAAACTTTTGCTGTTTTTATAAATGTTTATTTAGCAGAAAAGAACAAAAGGAAAGCAAAAGGTAGAATATAGAACGCAAAAGTGGGCGAGAGCCCAAAAGGTGAGCACAGCCGGAAGAAGAAGAATATGGAGAAGCAAAAACAATGAGCTGTCTGCTTGTATTTTGTTCGTCCTAATGCCAAGGCCAACGGCTTTGGCTACCGCTTTTCGGATGCCTTTTGCCAGTTTGTTTCGCTCGGCTTCGTCGATTTCTTTTCTTATTTCTTTCAACAATAATTTGGCTACTTAAACGGATTTTTGTATTTGTGCATCAACGTTTTATTCGCTGACAGGTGTAAAATAATTTTTTTTCCCTGCCCACGCGCAATCTGTGCTCAGTGCTTGACGCGGATAATTACCAGGGCGAATACAGCGATAGCGATTAGCTTAATAGTTGCCATTAATGCCGCTGCCTTTGCTATCGATTCGCATACGTAATTGCCTTATCTATGTGTACATTACGTATACGCCACACGGGTTATTGCTTGTATCAATCAAAGGCACACTTGCGCAGCACATTCGAGCGGACACATCCATTTTCCACGTACAGACAATAAATAATGTTTGGCTCTGTTTTCCGCGTGGCACCATTTCAAATATGTTGCATATTTTACACATTGCTGCAGGTCGAGTGCGTTGCAAGCTCTGCCAGCGCTGCCAGCGAAATCAGCAAGTCTTCTCCTTGTCTGGCCTAGCACTTGCAACTGAACTATTCCCTCAGACTTGGCAGACGTACAGCGCTGGCAATTTTGTATTTTTGCCGTATTTGCTTTTGGCATGAGCACGCAATTTTTTCTACCATTTCCGATCAAAAATGTTTTGATAAATATGCACATCTTGAGTTTTAGAATATCGAACTGTGTATGAGTGTGTGTATGTGTGAGTGTGTTGCTCGACGATGTTTGCGCAATTTGATTGCACAAAGTTGGTTTGCCCCATCCAATTCCAGTGCAGACAGTTAGAAAAATTGTGTGAGCTGCTTGTTTGCCCAATGCCCATAATGAACATATCAATAAGGAAAGTGCACATCTTTGATTTGATATTTCATGCTTCACGTTTGTGCACGTCGAGTGAGAGGACTTCTACTGAAAGTATATATATATATCGCACAGCATTTCCGATGCATTGGTGCTTATTCTGAGAGACATGACTGAAGTATATTTCTCTGCGCATCAGTGCATATTGCTATTCGGCGCATTTCCTACCCAAAATCACACTCAATTAAGCATTTAGGAATTATTATGCTAATGAGAAAGGGATAGATCAGCGCGGAGCAATCTTAATAAAATACATAATTTCGGCTGAAATAATAAAATTAAATTAAACTCATTACTGATTGCCGCGGCGTAGCGCAAAAGGCAGCCGAGCAGCCAGCTGAGTGAAAGCAGTTGCGCCAAGTGTTTATTTAAAAAAAAAAAAAGAAAAAAAAAACAGAAAAAAATAAATTACATTTTAAAAGCATCATAATTCAACGAAAACATTGCCAAGGCAAGGAAGTGGAAGACATCCAGCCAGGCGGATAGGCAGACCGGCAGCCACGCTGCCAGCTGGCAGGACGAGCGGGTGGGGTGTGGGTGGAAGGCAGTGGAAATTCATTAAGCATGCTATAAATGCTGGAAATTTATAAGTAATTGTAAAGGTTTATGCGGTTTGCTGTGGCCGGAACGTGCAACGTGTCTATCTCCATAAGGCAGCGCCGGAACCAAAGGCGGGTCACATAATTTATTTAAGCGCCAAATAAAGCGTCGTCTGACTTTGGCCATGGGCACAAAACGTTTAACGCAAATAATTGTGTGCAAATATTTACGGCGTAGCGGAGTAACTAACCGAAAACAAGATTCAGTCGCCGGCTAAAGCACAGAGCACTTGCAATAGTTACCACTTTCCGTATCCTCTTTTCAGGCAGGCTCGCTATATACGCGTCCTACGAGTATTCCACACAGACTTCAAAGCGAAAAACTCGCATTCATGCACTGCGGCTTTTAATTACACTAAAGGGTCTACATTCGCAGTGCTTAATGTCGGACGGAATGCGAGTCGAATGCTATTCACACACTAAGCTCATTCAAACAGTATAGACACATCAGCCTGTGGAGTGGGATATTGGTTTGCTTAATTTCAAATCAAAATATCAATATTTACCCAGCAGACTTCATGGTGGGTCGAAGGCTTCTGTGCGTCTCAAGTGTTGTTGTCGTTGAGCTGTTATCAAACTATTTGCTTATTTATGAATGTACTTAGGCCCAGGTGTGTGGCTGGCTGTGTGTGTGGGTGTGAGAATCTGTGTGAAAGCATGCTCATCAGTTGATATGTGTTCCATATTGAGCTGCGGCGTGATACATTAAGACAGTCAAGCACTTTAATCGAGTTGCTCTTTAAGCAGAATGAAAGCGAGCTCAGCTTAAATTTCTATTACATTTCAAATATTTCACATTTAAAGTGAGAATGATTGAAGATGATTTGCCTAATCTTTTCAAATTGTTCAGCAAAATCTTGAGCCGAGTTCGAGCTGTAGTTCCCTTGGTGCCGGACGGAGGTTGGAGATTATAGGGGCCGCTCGATTCTTGGAAAATGGAATGTGAGTCAATGGTAAGAAATAATTCAGAAAGCGTTTGGCTCAAATTAATGGCGTTACTTTTGAAACCTTTTATGCACGCCAGCAAGGCAAAGCAACAAAAAAACAAAGAAAATGCCCACGCAAAGCAAAGCTCGTAAATTTGTTGGCCATAAAAATCAATATGTTAATGGGCGAAAGTTTGCTACATTTGTTTGAACGTGTATATAAGCCCGGCCATGTGTGAGTGTGCGAGTGAGGAGTGACACTGCTGAAACATAAATCCTACTGTCAACAATGGCCAGCAGCATTGACATGCGACGACGAGCGACGATGGCGGCAACATGGCCGAAGGACGAAGGACGAACCGGCTCTGGAGAGGGCTGGACTGCCAGCGGCTGGATTGACCGCACCGCCGAGTTACAATAAATACAATAAATACAGACGCTGACACATGGATATACATACATATACATATATGTACATACATATATCTACCCGCAGCTGTGAGTACTGCAAAACCTCATTAAACTGTTAAATCTTTTGACAGCGCTGATGTCGATGGACGGATGACAGACAGCACGAATTCAGTCATCCAAAGGCACCCAGACATCCAGAGAGAACCGTGGGGACTGCGCACTTAATATATGCAAACGCACCCAAAAGAAAAACACAAAAAATAAATAAAAAATTTAAAAAAAGCGAATGTATAAAATTAAAAATGCAATTAAGCGTGGGAATTATGCGCAAAGTGTTGAAACGCGAACTGACGGCTTCGAATTGAAACTATTGACCAAGCAAATATTCTGCGGCCCGTTTCTGGTGCCACAACCGCCAACGTGAGCAAATATGCCAAGGATATCTGTTAAATTTATGTAAAGATATGCGAAAGCAAACCCCCTTCCACTGACTGACTGCTGCCTGCTGGTCGCTAGCTCCTGCCTCCTGCCTCCTGCCTCCCGCCTCCTGCCACTCGTTGCTTTCAATTTGTGGAAGACACTCGCTGCGCGCACAGTCCTCGGCTGGGCCCAACTCGACTCTCTTCAGCACGAATCAACTAAAATTGATTTATGGATATTTTTAGAGAAGAAGCGAGCCGCAACTGTGTAAAAGTTTAAAGCGCGTTGCGTGTCAAGAGCAAATATCAAAAATCGACATTCGACATTCGGGGCGTGGTCGTAAAACCGCTCGAAAATTATAGCTTTCAGGTTTCGCGCGAATCGTAATAAATTTAGAAAACTTATATACACATCGCGAAGCACTTGGCCATTTTTATAAACTTTGCTCGCAATTGCAGCTTAACGCCCCCACCCAGCGCAGCGCTCGCTAGTTGATTGCCCCGCCCCCACAGTTGGGCAGCGAACGGGTTTCAACTAGCAAAGGTCGTTAACAGCTGGGAAGGCTTAAGTCCGCCCGACTGCAAAAAAAAGTTCGTAGGTGCCAACAAGCGTGGAATAGGACGGATAAAGAAATGTAAAAGTAAAAAGGCAGGCATGTGGCAGGAAGTGCTTGACCTC